ACCGAAAGGAATGATCAGGTATTACTATTTTTTCAATCAGAGAATGCATATAAAAACCCAAAACTGAAAAATGTAAAATTAGGTTATGCCATTGCCTGCCAGTATCCTTGTCCTTATGGATAGACACCTAGGTGGTATAAACCTTTATGTGTAGCAGGAAGCGCAGAAACTTTCTCAAATTAGATAACTCACAAGATTCTGCCCACACCCTCTCCCCTCCCCCACTTATGACTGTAATCCAAAGGTCGGTGGTTTGAACCCTCATGCTACTCCACAGAAGGAAGATGAGGCCTTCTGTTTCCATCAGGGTGTACTGCTGCGGAAATCCTGTGGAGCAGGTCTATTTGGCCCGATAGGAATTTGCTCTGGACTTGCTCACAGTGGGTGTGGTTTGACTGGGGGTTTAGGAGCTGGGGTGTTGTAGATCATGTGTCCCTTTGGCTGGTGTGGATTAGGCCACAATACATTCAGCAGGTCCATCCCAGAAAATTCTGTGACTGGAAATGGCCTTTCCTGAATGAGCTTTAGATTTTAAAAAGTGCACTTTGGAGTTTTCTGTTGTTCGGACACTTACACATTCCTTGCAGTGCAGTGCTACGGGCAATAAAGATGAGCCCCATTGCCCTTCCCCACAGCCCCGGCCGGATCCTTTGATGTGCTCTGAGTGCACCTTGCTGCAGCTGAAGGTTGTTTCTCCTGCAGTGGGGTGAGCTCAACCAGTGGGCTCTAACCACTTCGGTCAGAGTGAGGGCCACTCCGAGCTAGAATCTCACAATTCCCAGCAGCTCCACCATCCACATCTGTTTCTAGCACTGGCACAATTCCACTTTTTTATATGTAAAATTGTTCCCATCTTTGAAAACACTTTAAAAAATAAAGAAGTCCCCATTCTGTCTCTTTTTCCACTCCCCAACACATGCATTTGTAATTACCTGGTTTAGTCTGTGTGTTTAATCAGTTTAAATTGAGAATTCTGTGTACATCTGATTTCAATCTGAAGGAGCCATTGAGTACTGGGCAGTTAACCACCCTGCGTCTGCCAAAATGTGCTTCTGCCAAAAAAAGGATAGGAGTCACACCAGGGTATTTCCGAAAGAAGCCACTTGACTCAGATTAGATGTTTAATTTCCTTAAAATATTGTTTTGGATTTAGGTCTCTATTCTCTAATTGGGATTTTCTGATGTAATTTAGGAATACCACTTATTTGCTGAGTTGGTTCCAGGCTCCAGCTGGCCTTCTTCTGAAAGCCTGAATCTCAAGGAAGCGAGCGAACGGCACTCAGCGCTGCTGCGTGCCGCACCTCGCTGCTTTGAGGGGTGGGCCAGGCGGTTTTTAGGGAGAAGGGCTGCTGGCTATGATAACAAACCTCCTTGTTGATAGGAGCGCATTTGCTGAGTTATTCTCTTGACGACATGAAATTAGGAAAGAATTGGTCACTTCATTAATTGTTCCTTTTAAATTCCACTTTCACTTCTGACATTGATCCCTGAACCATATTTCTAGATTTCTCTCAGTTCTTTTAGTTTAAAACACCTCTCATTGCCCAGAGTTTTCAGGGTCTTTAAGGTTTTCATGGTTTGTTTGTTTTTGGGGGCAATCTGGTGGATTAGTGGTTACACATTGACTGCCAACTGCAGCCAGTAGTTTGAAACCACCAGCCACTTAGTGGACGAAAGGTGAGGCTTTCTGCTCCCATACAGAGTTGCAGTCCGGGAACCCCCGGGGCAGTTCTGCTCCGTCCTTGGGGTCACGGTGAGTCGGAATCAACCTGATGGCAACGAGAAAGGGCTTTTTGGTCATTGTTTCGTCTAATTGGGCCATCATTCCTGAATCTTAAAGAAATTAGACTATGGAGCCGGACTCTTTCCAAAGGCGTTAACCCAGAGGCTCTGTCTTTAGAGGCGTGCCGCACTTCAAACCCACTTGCTGGCACTGCCGGCCGCTGTCCAGTGGGTCCCTGACTCCTGGCAGCCCCGTGCTCCGTGTGACTGTACTGTCGTGGACTGTGGGGTTGTCACGGGCTAATATTCGGAACAAGACCACTGGACCTTCCTCTCTATGAGTATTTGTGAATCCATTCGTGAAATTTAATGGATAACTAAAAATCTCTTTGCATATCTTGCATGGTATAAAAGCCACGCCTACTGGGCTTTCACGTGTCCCGGTCTTGTACCGCTTGTTTTCAGATGAACCAGTCAGCTGGGTCCCAGAGTTGCCTGGAAGAGAGGTGAGCTACCAAAGAGCTCCGAAGGGCGAACCCCTGTGGGTGCTAATACGATGAATGTTGACCCGGTTTGACAGTTCTACTTCTTCAAAGAAAAAGTAGTCGTGCCCTGATTTAGTCATTTCAAAAACCCATACTGAGCACCTACGTAGACCCAGGCACTGCTTTGCATGCTAAGGATATACCAATGGAAATACAGGTGAAAGACTCTGCCCTCCAGGGAGCCTGAAGTTAAGGTGGATTGTTGAGCAGTTGGCCCAGCCCTTGGTGGCAATGAGTGAGTCTGGGCGGACTAGAGAAACAAATCCACAGACACTTCCACAGACACTCACATGTGTATAAGAAAGAGCTTTATATACAAGAGCAGTTGAATATTGAGAAAACATCCAAGGCCAGATCAAGTCCATAATAAGTCCAATATTAACCCATGTGTCCAATACCAATCTATAAAGTCCTCTTCAGACTCATGGAACACATGCCATGACGCTGAATGCAGGAAGATCACAGGCCAGTGGGTGGGCAGTCTTGTGGATCCAGTGATGTTGTGAGCATCTTCAGTGCTAGCAGGCGTCTCCACATGGCCCTTCTGGCTCCTAGAGCTGGCTCTATCAGCCTCTCTCCATGTGTCTTCTCCACAGGGATGTGTCACAGGGAGTGAGCGGAGAGAGAGAGTGGCTCCTGCTTCCAAGGATGAAAAAGGAGAGTTCCCAGAATCCTCAGGAGAAGGCCATGCCCACACAGAGGCCTCAATGACTATATCCTGATTGACAGGCTAGACTCCACCCGTATACTCTTAATCCCCAAATTGACACCAAGTCTGTAACTACCACCCCAGGGATAATGAATACCCCATTCAGTGGGGCTGAAGGCAGTAAAATCCATGAAGAGCTTAAAGTGTCTTGACTTACTCTCTCTGGAACCCTCTGTCTACTACCTTCCGCACCCATTCCTCACTTAGCATGCGATCAAGTTTGAAAGACCAGATTGTTATTCGAGAATTGGCATGATGCAAAAATGGAGAGTTGGTTTTTTTCTTTCTATTTTTAGACCACTCATTTAATGTAAAAAATGTGATCCTGGATATCATAGCAGCTAAGATTTATGAATATGCCCCTCACAGTGATAGGGTCCAGCTGTGGATTAGTTCCTTTGCAGAAGAGCCGGGGGGTGGTAGTGTTAATGCACTGGGCTGTGATCCACATGATCAGCAGCTGGGAACCAGTAGGAGAAAGACTCTGTTTTCTACTCCCATACACCGTCTCGGAAACCTTCAGGAGGGCCACTATGAGACAGCATCTACTCCATGGCAGTGAGGTTGCTTGGCTTGATTTTTGGAAGATTTATCACAGCGATGATGACCAGTTATGGATTATTCCTCTGCAGAGGAGGAGGCAAAGCTGGGTAAAGTGGGCAATGTGACTGGGGGCCAGGACTTACCCACAACATCTTCCTTCTGTGCTGGACCAGTTTCCCACAGGGAGCTAGCTGTCTCTAGGGCTATACTCCTTCCCTCCCTTCCTCCCTCCCCCCCTCGCACGTTCACACCCCGTGGCAGTTGGAAGTTACAGGAGCCCAGGCGACATGAGAGCTGCCTCTCTGAACAGGTGCCTGCTGGCCTCTGCCACAGAGCTGCCTGCACATCCACCCAGAGGCTTTGGGGATGGGATGGCCCTGTGTAGCAGCTGGACATGGAATCTGCTCTGACTGGAGGGCCAGGGACAGTGCGGTCCAGCCTCCTGGAAACCCCCTGGAGTCCCTCCGTGCTCCATAGCTGCTGCTACCACTGTCTGCCTGCTGCCTCCTTAATGTGCAAAAGAGTTGGATAACAGAATTTTTACTATTGTCATAAGGAGAAAATGACAGGTGATGAGATAGTCAATAAGTGAGGAGTAGGTGTTTTTCTCTGACTCTGATATAGAGTTCTGGTGTTTTCTTTGTGAGATGTGTTAATGTTTAGGAGGAAGAAGTTTCAGGCCTGAGTGATGGTTTTTTATGGTCTTCGTGTGGGATCACTGGTGTTAGAAGGGAAAGCAGACAGCAATGGGGGTATCAGCGAATGCAGAGTTTAGGTGTGAAGGCAACAGAGTTGGAAAAAGCCAAAAGCCCTTGGCCATCAAGACACTCTCGACTCCCAAGGACCTCCCTTGCCGAGGAGAGCTGCCCCTTGGGTTTCCAAGACTAAATATTTACAAAAGCATGCAGCCTTCCTGTCTTCCTTGGTGAAGGCTGCCAGGTTTGAACTGCTGACCTGGCAGGTAGCAGGCACAACCCACTCTGCCACCAGGATCCTGGAGAAAGAAGCTGAAAGAGAGTGGAACTGGGAGGGCTTCTGCCCGCTTTCTCGGAGCCGTAACCACCATCGCCAGGAAGGTTTGGGTAATTATGACACCGGGACCAGCATTGCCTGCGTTTTCAGTGTGCATATGCGGACATCGACTTGGGTTTTTCATTTTTACCATTCAACTAGCTGCTGTGGAGTTAATTCCAACTCACGGGAAGCCGTCCTGGGTTGGAGGAGCGGAGAGCTCCCTAGAATTGTTAACGACTGATTGTTTTTAGGAGCAGATTTTCTTTCAAGGCAATGCTGGGTGAACCAGAACTCCCCACGCTGGGATAATTGTTCTCACCACAAAGAGACCCAGTCCTCTGATTGTCCAGCCTTCATATCTAAATATCGTCCTATCTCAGTTCTTGAAAGTAAAACTGCAGTGCCGCCTCGTGGGTTTCATGACCATGTTAATTTGAAATTGTGCTTTCTCCTACCTTCTCCTTTAG